GTCGAAGGGGCTTCGCCGGCGCCAGCACCGGTGTCTTCATGGGGAGAGTAAGAGCCCCTCGACTCTGTGCGCCCTTGAAGTCTAGAGCGCTTTTGGAGAGAGATCAGCCTTCCTCCGGGACCAACAAACTAAAAAAAAAAAAAAAGATTTCTTTAATTTTTTTTTTAGATTTCCCCAGCACGTCCAAGCTTAGAGCAAAGGGTGGCAGGGTTGTTTTCAGGTCACAGCCTTCTGTGGGTAAAGCTGAAAGATGGTTTTCCCCCCATCCATCCCTCCCACCTACCCTAAAGGACAAATGCAATCTCCCCCTGCTTCGTTTGATAAAATCTGAAAAGCTCGTTTCCACCGTACGATGGAAACCGTTGGCAGGCTTAACAACAGGGGAGCTAAACGGCAGTGGTAGCGATGCGATGGACCGCAGCGCGGCCGTTGCTCCATGTCGCTCAGACCCAAGCTTGGGTAGCCCGAGTGTTGTTACCGGTGAAGATGGCTTTTTTTCTGAGCAGTTTTTCTAGGGAGGCCAGCAGAAGCAGTGTGAGTTGGTTATTTTCTCCTTTTTGCTTAAAGGAGTAGGCAGCAGAAGTCAGCTTTCAGGTATGGCAGACCTGTGGTATATTTCAGATAAAATTAAAGGCCTAAAAGTAAATGGAGGTCAGGCAGAACTTGCTGGTATAAGCAGAAGTATAGCTTGCACAATTTTCTCATAGTTTTAGGGTGGTTTAAATAATAGAAGGCAAGGGAAGGACAGACACCCATTGTTGTACAAAACGGGTGTCAAGTATAGGCGCTTCAGAATTTGTTCAGGTGAACTGAGCTGAGTTTCTCCTTCCCCTCCAGCCTGATATTGCACAGAGTTACCGTACATCCCTATCCATACAGAGCTCTTTCACAGGCCTAACAACAGCTCTCAAAACCTCCCTTTGCTCTTTTAGACTTGAGACCAGCCTGAGTTCCCTTCTTGCAGGTGCATATATCAAGAAGGGATCCCAGACAAAAGCTATCACTTTGAAGACCGAAATTCAAGTTTGACTTACATCTTTGTTTAGTGACTTTTTTTTTATATTTAGAAGTCTGTCTTTTATTTGTTCATATATTCTGCTTTTCCCCTTCTTGATTAGGGAAATATGTTCTAATGAGAGGAAATGGAAGTCTGTTAGAGGCATTTTCTATCTGTGAACTTTAATGTTAAACCTTAGTACATGAGTTTTTCTAAGCCTTAGCTCTGATCTTATTGTATTTACCATATTTACTTCTCTTTAGTGTCCAGAAATCAACATGTCTAGCAAAAAGGCAAAGACGAAGACCACCAAGAAGCGCCCTCAGCGTGCCACCTCCAATGTGTTTGCAATGTTCGATCAGTCGCAGATTCAGGAATTCAAGGAGGCCTTCAACATGATCGACCAGAACAGGGATGGCTTCATTGACAAAGAGGACTTGCACGATATGCTCGCCTCCCTCGGTAATGCCCCTTGCCTGTGGATGGCCGCCAAACGAATCTGTGCTGTTAAAGTTAAAATAATTGAGTTTGGGAGGGCTTCTGAGAGATGTGTCGGCTTGTGTTGTGCTCTTCAGATTACTTTTCGTTTGGAAGCTAAACCAAACACGAATCCCTTTATTTGTAGGAAAGAATCCCACGGATGAATACCTAGATGCCATGATGAATGAGGCTCCAGGGCCCATAAACTTCACAATGTTCCTCACCATGTTTGGTGAGAAGCTAAATGGCACCGATCCGGAAGATGTCATCAGGAACGCTTTTGCTTGCTTTGATGAAGAAGCAACAGGTACGTGGGTGAACCTCAGCCACTTGGCGCGGGCAGGGGGGTTACTTTTATGTTGTTTATTTGAGTTTCTAAATAGTATGCTGATTTTTGCACTTTTATAAATGGAGTATGACACAGTAATCATAGGTGGCATATTCTGCTGAGTAATGAGAATTTGACTTATTACTGAGTGAGAGTAAAAACTGCCTGGCTGTTCTGCGTGAGCGCTGAGGACTAGTAGTAATGGTCTTCTGCAAGGCTTTGAAGAAGAGTGTTTTAACTGGGCAGTGTGTGTGTTCCTCAAAGTGCAAAATAAGTTGCATTTGCCTCTAAGAAGATGAGGAATTCAAATTGGTAATATGTGATTTTCTATGGCATTGAAAACGTAACGGATGTTAAGTCTGTAATGCCACTGATTTCGTCCTCGCCCTGCGCTAGATCTGAGATGCATCTGAAGTCTTTGATGGTTTTAGTATTTCAAGACAGTCTGTCCAGACTACATAAAGTCTTTGGAACCCTCATCTTGCCTGGTGTATGTTATGGCTCTAATGACAAATGCCATGTGTCATGCCCTCACCCGCAGCTCAGTTTGTTTTCAGGTTGCAGGAAGGGCTGAAGCCTTAACGATCTAAAGATAAAAACTGGGCGGGGTCTAGAAGACAGAAATGACAGATTGGACTGACTTGCATAGCAGGATGGGGAGGAAAGAGGAAAATGCAGAGCTCAGTTTTACTGTGTCGGACTTTCAAGGTGACGCCTGTAATTCTTGAGGTTAGAGTTTATGCTTTTATTTATTTATTCCTGTAGGCTGAGATGCTGGAGAAGTGTGTAGCAACCAGGGATGAATCCTTAGGGCAGTTCTGTGGAACTGCAGAAGATCAGCACTTTGACGTGTTGTGAACAAGTCTTACTAGTGCGTGCTGAAATTGTGTAGCCTCTGTGCTAGAGCTGTCGCTGCATGTATAACTGTCTGCCTCGGTATTTCAGTCTAATCCGTGGATATGTGCTCTGAACCTTTCAAAGAATATTATTCCATTTCAAACAGCTATCTTCAGTCTGTGTATTTTTAGCACCTTTTGCCTTTTCAAAGAGCATCCCCTTCCTGCTGAGGCGTAGGTAAACAGGCTTTCTGTTGGTAAGGCCTTTTCAAATGCTAATTGACTTCCTCCCTCTCAAGGGAAATCTCTTTACCATCTCCTAGAGAAGGAAGTTTTGTTACTAGGTTAATTATTTTCTCTCCACAGGTAGTCTGACTCACTGTGCTACAGGGTTTTTTTGTGTGCACCAAAACAAGAGCCTGCGAATTACGATATAAAGAAAATGACTGTGCTATCAGTTCTTGTGAACAGTAACCTTCTGCGTCTATGTAAACAATAAGTTACTAGTTCAGGCCCCCGTGTACTGATAAGATTGATTTTACTATCTTTCAGCTCTGTGGGGTAAATGTTTTAGTCCAGTCCTAGGACGATTGGAGGATAGTGGTTCCACAGTCTTTTTTGTGTCTTATGCCATCCTCAAATTTTAACCAGGAAACATGTTTCATTGATTTTTGATTCATGATAGTCAACAAGCAGTCTTCAAAATAACGTGTGACGTCTTTGTGGAACCCATGCTAAGTTTGCCTTTTATTGATTTTATTCTCAGGTTTGGCTTCTGATCAGTTTGTTCTGTTTGAAAATGAACAAAACCATTTCCAGCTATGTCAAACCTTTGTCTTTGTTTTTCCCCACTTCATAATCTCCCCGTGTGTGTGTGTTATGAGCCTGATTTTCCGGCTCTACATCAGTGTAGCTCTTTTGAAAGAGAGTAATAACAAATCAGATCCTCTTGATGAGGGTAAGGTAGTTGTACTTGTTGGGTTTTATTTACATTTCCTATATTGCCAGTCCAGTTGGGTGTGTTGCTTCAGCATTACTATCATAGGTAATTACTAGGGAATTAGTGTAAGAGTTATATCTGTCTGCATTTGGTGTGTCTTTTGTCTGCTCTTTGATGCTGCACTGTCATCTGTTTTGTGCTGTCTGCCACAGCCTGAATCTTAAAATTTCACTTTGTTAACTTGTTACTCCCCGTCTACATTGAAGCTCCGTGTGAGGGAGAGCGGGACTACTGTTTGCTTTACAGTTGGGTGCTGCTAAAACTTCCAGTGTTTTCCTGGCAGCCCAGTCCAGTGTTCAAACACCCCGCTGTTCCGGCAGGAGCAATTAAGCCCTTGAGGCTGAACGTGCAGCACCAGAGGCCTTGCATTCTTTGAATACTAATCCTTATGTCATCTCTCATGGCTGTTTGGGCTCTGCAGGACTGCAGAAAGAGCCAGCCTAATCTGGTCAGCTGGTTTTTCCCCTTCTTTACGCACATCTGCAGAGACAGCTCCAAAATTTGACCCGACTAAGAAGGGCCTGGCTAACTGAACATTCTCCTGGTTTTAAAGTAGAACATTGCTGTTAGCCGCCTTCATTTGGAGTCAGTAGTCACGGGCTTGTCTGCACTGGGACGTGATGCTGGTTTAATTAGCTGATGTTGAAACCGTTTGGTTTTTCCCTTCCCCGCAGCACACACCAACCCCATGATAATTTGTCATGCTCATTGACTGCCTTTTGGTCCCAATTCCCTGTTTGGTTTTTGTCTCTCTAATGAACTCTGTTTGCTTAAGTTATTCAACTCTCTTTCCAAAGCAGAATTTCTTTTCTTTTTTTTTAATCACATTCTAATTGAATCTACGTCAGTTGATGTGGGTGCCTACATATGATTTCCAGCTGTTCTGCGCAGTTTACATATTTATTTATTTATTTAATTTGGAACATACTTCTACCTCCTCTGTTCTGTTATTGATATTTCTCCAACTGAGGTTCAATAACCAATTTCTTTCTCCAATGAAGCAACTATTGTGCATTTAAAGGCATGGTAAGTCTTATTTCAGCATTAAGCAGTTTCTGCATTCCTCTGTCTACCATTTTTTTATGTGCATTCCTTTTTTCATCTCTAAACTTCCCGGGAATTATTTGGCAACTGGTGGTTCTGTCCATCTATTGAAATTGAATTAACAGAACATACTTAGCAACTGCTCATTTTTATATCTTTGCTAATTTCCTCCAAAATCTTCTGCTAATATTTTACCATAAAATAAATAACTTGATATAGCCTACCTTTTTTTGGCTGACTGCTCCGCCTCTACCTCTCCACAGTAGACATTCTTCCTCCCTCCTGAGTTAACTTGCTCAATCCTGTCTGAAAGTCTTTGCTGTTACAAACTCTTCCCCTGGGCACTTGCCAGCCCTTCGCTGTATCCACATAAACCGCCTCCGGCAACAGTATCACAATGCAGCAGTGAAGAGCCAACCAGTGGTTATTTAGTCCCCAGAGGAAACTAGTTTTATACAGGATCTGCAAATATACCCAATTAAGTCAAGAAAAATATAACTCAATTAAGAGAACAGCTTGTGTAATGAAGACGAGCAGTGACAGGAACTTGGGGTTTCCACTTTGATCTGTTGAAGATCAGTAGATGGCAATGGGTGTTAGCAGATCACAGCAGATCAGCCCCTCTTTTCAAAAACCTGTACGAAAGGCATCAAACTTTCCCCCCCTGCCTTTTGCAGCAAGGAGTTTCTTCCGAATTCAGTTAAGAAGGTATCTTAGGCTCTTGGTGCAAATGCATCTATTACATGCTGTGTAGTTCCTTGCATGTCTGTTAGTGTGTCTGTCTTACTGCTTCTGAAGACTCGTCTGAGAAATGGCTTCTCTTCTGTGTTTCTCTCTCTACATCTCCCCAGGGTTCATCCAAGAAGACTACCTGCGGGAGCTGCTGACCACGATGGGGGACAGGTTCACGGATGAGGAGGTAGACGAGCTGTACAGAGAGGCGCCCATCGACAAAAAGGGGAATTTCAACTACATTGAATTCACGCGCATCCTGAAGCACGGAGCAAAAGACAAGGATGACTGAGCACATCCCTGGATACCTGCAGATAGCTTCCCTCCCACTCCCCCCCCCCTTAATTTTATTTCTCAGGATCTGTTTTTTCTTTTTTTCTCGTTGGGACCTTTTGCATACATTTTTAGATTCCAGCTTTTTCCTCTGTGGACTCGGGGGCTGCTCAGGCACACCTGCACCTTTGTAATAAGCCTGGGAATGGGCCGGGAGAGAGGAGAGCTTACAGTGATAGAGGTTTAGGGACAAAGATCAGTGAGTGTGGGAGCCCAGGTAAAAAACTCAGTGCTACTCATCCTAGCTAGATTAATTTTACATTTTTAATGGTAGCTTTTCAATTAAAACACTGCTGTATTAAGTACATCTTTAAAATTTTCATGCTAGAAGCAGGCTGTTTATCTAATCAGATCTCTAAATATTTTTGCAACTGTATGCAGTCGTGTTGTAACCTATTTTTGCCTTAAAAATGAAGCATAAGTCACTTAAGCATACTGATGTTTGTACTTCAGCAACTGAGTACTTCACTTACTACTGTGAGCATATATAGTGAAGAAATTCCCATCCTTCAAATCTTAGTACATTGTAAATTAATGATCTCTGTCCAAGACTTGCACATTAAACATGTTAAATCTTATGGATGCAATTGGGGGTGTATTTTACACCTTAGCACCTCCATTTCTTGACACTAAGTACAACGTTAATACTACTTTTTAAAAACTTACATGGTAAATCCTAGTGTTTTCTTGAAAAGAGATACCATGTGTGAGTAGAATGCTTGAGCGATGCCTCTTACTGGATCTGCAGGACTGACAATATAGAATTCATTACATTTCGTTGCAACCATTTACTTTTCCCATATTTTTTTCAAAGCGCAGTGAGAATGGGGCTGGATGAAGAAGGAAGGTGTGCTGTCCCTGGCCTTTTTGTTTTCTATCCGAACATGTTATTCTTGCTTTCCAAATGGGACAATATACAACATATTTTTAGGAGCTTCTGCTAAGAGCAGTGCTTTGGGGGTGTGAGGAGGAGGCATTCCTTTGTGCTCCGTCTCTCATAATTATATCTTCTAATTCCTGCAGTACAGAATACATAGCAGATTTGCAACAGTACTTTGAAGGAACTTTGCCATAATCTGAATACTTGTGGTTCTGGTTCCTTGGTCTTGACAGGTGATCAGAGCTGCGGCTGTCACTGCTAGGAATGGCATCGTTACCCCTTAAGAATTCCGGTTACAGAATTAAGAAATGTCATTTGTCTGAGGGCATTGTGCTGCTTTTTGGTAGGCTGCTATTGCAAACTGCACTTTTAATAAATTCAGTTAGAGGACAGTGATTATTTGTTTTAGAAATACCCTGTTCTTTCGTGAACAACCCACCAGGACTGTCGTCTTTTGAGAAGGGCAGTGCCCTACAAAATCCTTCACTGGTCCCTGTAAGAAAAAGCTCCGAAGCTTCTGCTCTGCCTCAGTCCCAGCCGGCTTGCATTTGGGGGGCAGAGCCACCAACC